AACAAAAATTCAATTTGATACTTTAAAAATTAGTATATATTGTTCTAAACACAAAAGAGCTCAAAACATCAAAATAAGAAAATATCATAAATAAAAAAACGGATTACTGTTATTTAGTTTGGTTCAAAACCTACAAAATCTTCATTGCTTTCACTGTAATTTTTTTATTATTATTTAGGGAGCATTATAAATAGTTATGTTTTAAAAGAAAAAACTACTATTGTTATAAATAACACATTCAATTGAACTAAATTATGCATGCTTATTTAAATATATTTACACATGGCTTGTGTATATCGTATATATACATATATATTATTCATACCTTCGGTGTATAGGACGCAAGCATATTTTGACATCAAATTTTGGGGTAAAAAAGTGCGTCGTCTTAAACACCGAAAAATACGGTATTATCATATGGGATTAGCGACAGAATTTTATAGCATAGGTTAAAGAATGTGAATAAATATTGTAGTGATGAACAGCGTAGTTAGGCTTCAGACATGGTCACAGACCAGGTTTTCTCTAATGGTTAGAAGCTTTATCCTCGGAATGACGGTCACATGTACATTTTTGATATTTATTTTCTCTTTTTTTTTTAGGGGGGATGTGATAGAGGGACATAATATAGTAACATCACGAGACATAATTAGCCAGGAATATTTGCTCCCCAGTGACACAGCAGTATGTACACCTCTAGAAACCGGGTTTCGATACTCGTTTTTGGGCAGAGCACAGATAGCCCACTGTGTTGCTTTGTGCTTAACTCCGAACAAACTTTCCCCCCTTAGCGTTTTTATACATTCAGGCGTTTACTGCGTGTTTCAAAACACAGGGCATCATTATATGATATATTTGTTTTAATTGGCTATTTTCCAAAAATATTTTATTTTTATATCTTGCATTTATGATGTTGAATGAGATATTACTTGGACATTTGGTGTTTATTTCATATTCGCACTGGTGGTCTCAGCCAATTAAACAATAGAGGGATTGTTCTGTGGATATACGCCATCTGTGAGCTTATATTTACAGCAAGGTGATAGTGCTTATACGAAAAACAAACAAACGAACAAAAACAATTCAAAAGTTATCTTCCGATGTACGACACATGAATGACATTGAAAACAAACGGCTTAACGCTCCGAATTGTTATTTATTTCGATCATGCAACAGAAAAAACAAACAAAATATAGTGAACTTAAATAAGAAAACTTTGAGAAATGAAAGGCAAATAATACAAGCTTATACAAACAAAAGACAATAATTATTAAGTTGTGTATACAACCATTAAGTTTCACAGAAGAAGATGTCGAAAATAACATCAAGGTTTGTTTATAACTTTTTCTTATACACACGAACCACTCAGCTTTCGGTGGTTTTTAGGTGCTACCAGTTCTTACAACCACCATTATACACCTTGACTAACGGATTGTTCTATGATCTATCTTGTTACCAGTACAAATAAAAAAATTAATATAACATCAAAGGCTGAAATAATTTCAAGGGGTATTTTATTTATATGCACGATTTAAATATTATCATGAAATTTCACGAGTTTAATAAATGAAGGCTGTCATACGAAACAGAGATGAACACTCGTTTTAATATGACGAAGCCTTCAAGTTAACACCTACATGAAAACCTCGCTTTTAGCCTGACTTCTCAATTCCCATGCGTATACAATTCACTATACACACAGTGATGACATCATTCGTCGGCTTCAGTCTTACAATATATTTGTTTGTCGAATGATCAACAGTCAGTTATAAATATTTGATGTCTTTCGATACTCAGTTGTACGCGATAATACATATAATTGATAAACCCTCGGCCAAAGT